TCCTGGGCCAGCGTCCCTGCACTAGCTTGGCCACATCCAAATACACTGGTTGTTCCATCTCAGGATGAAGCCTCTGTCCCCCATGGAAAACAAGAGACCTCGCCCTAAATGAAAAGGGGAATATCTTTCAGAGAGAGCCTGTATTGTGTTTTAGAAAAGCTGAGGGGCCAATACTGACAGAATTTTCAGAGCAAGGCATCATGACATGGTGGTTGCATGCACAGTCCTGAATCAGGTAGATCTGGGTTTGAGCCTTGGCTCAACTACTTGCTACATGGATAACCTTGGTGAAGTTACTTTCTAAGTTTCCTTGTATGTAAAGTAGGGATAATAAATACTACCTAGCATTATTATTAGGTTGTGGGGAAAACACTATTCTGTTGCTGGAAGCGAGTACAAGCCCAAGGAAAGAGATTCATTTCTTACTAGTGGCAAAGCTATTTATAATCAGGATGACATTTAATGAGTCCTTACTCTGTGCTGGGTGCTGTACCAAGTGTTTAACATGGGTAATTTCATTTAATTCCCCAATAACCCCCATTTTGCAAATAAGGAAACTGAGGTGCAAGTGGTTCACTAACTTGTTTGAGGTCACACATCTCGACCTTGGGTTTGAATTCCAGTAGTCGTCAGTCTAGAGCCACTACTCTGAACCACCAAGGTAAGCTGCTCAAAGCCCAGCATAAGCGTAGCACGCTCACCATTCATTCTCTTTCGAATTGGGTGGTAGGAAAGTGGGAGCGATTCATGAGGAGCAAGGAAACTTTCAACCTTTTCCCTTAACCAAATTCTTCCCTTCCAGGGCCCCCTCTCTCTCATGCCGCCTCCCAGCCCCCAAAGAAATATTTCAGGATAGATGCTCACTGGTTACAACATAGTTGAGATATCGATTGTCAAGAGAAGGTAAGGAAAACAAATGAGCATGGATCATCCACATACTGAAAAGTTCCAAAGACACTAAAAGTGGGCAGCGATTGTATCATAGAAGAGGCAAAAAAAGAGAAAATCCTTCTTCCTTTGTATTAAAATTGGAGCCAGTGCAGAAAAGAGCATCAACTCCCAAAGAGGGAGAGAGACAGAAGATAAAGCCTTGGCTAGGGGAGTCCTCCGTGGGTGTATCGGAACACCAGAACTCACCAAGCGTTCTAGAATCAACTTCCCTTTCCAACGCACATACAGATACACAGGGGCTCATCGGAATAGAAATACTATTTCTCTGAACGTGTGCAGCCAATGTTAGAATTTTTAATTTCCTCCCAAAGGCTCTACCTTTCATGAGAACCCAAGGGCATGCCCACTACCTGTTTTTCCAACTGGACAGGGATTTGGAGGGTCTGGGTAGCCCTGATCTTCACTGAAGTCCTTGGGAATGTTGTCACCGGTCAACTCTGCCACAATGTTTGGGATGTTGCCAAAGGGACCCAAGTGCTGAAGACCTTCATGAGCTCCACCTGCCAGGGAATCAGAAGCAGTTCATTTCAGTGCAATGACATTCATTTCAACTAATATTTATTCAGGCATACCATACAGACAAAGCACTGTGCCCTATGCTGTGGAGAGAAAAAAGGAAATCCAACAGTTCCTACCCTCTAGGGGGTTAAAATTTTAGTTGTGGAAACAGACACATACTGCACACATATCATTTCCACACAGGGCACACTGTAGATGTGCTGTAATAGACGTGTTAAAATATAGCATTGGGAGCAGAGTAAAGGGAGTGTTTCATTTGGCTGATAGGACGGGGAGGGCTTCTTGAATGAGTTGGAGCTTGAGTGGCACTGACACAGATGGGCTGGGGTTTGGAAGCTGGGCATGGAGCTCAGGGAAGAGAAGAGGATGCAACTGGCATCCAGGTAAAAGAAAAGGCTGAGTAACAACCAATTACCACAAAAAAGGGAGATGAAGGAAAAGGTCTTTGTCCTCTTGCCATTCTAGATCGACCACTTAAAACTGGGTGCATTTACTTCAATTTTCTTCTCTGCACATCTTTTCATATCTAAGTGTTTATTGGTTTTCCACTTACTATTAAAGCATGTGGCTGCATGGTCTCTATCCCCTTGATTATAAATGAATATGTAGTCTTCTATCCAGTGGCTCTACCACAACATTTTAATCATTCCCACTTTGTGGGATGTTTAGTGTTTCCCAATTTACTCTTGGGCATTTAATTTTTTCCATATTTTGGATTAGTTTTCCTCAGGAGAGACTCCCAGAAGTCAAATTACTGGGTCAAAGGCTATAAATATTTTATGGCTCTTTATATTACCAAACTGTTTTCCAAAAAGGAGGTATCAATTAATAAAATATCATCAACAAAATCCGACATTACCATTTTTACAACATCTTAACCAGCATTGGGTTCTACAAAAATAAATTTTTATGTTGTCTTTGCTAATTTAAAATCTTTTAGAAAAATTACTGCTTTATTTTGAATGTCTTTGATTACTAGCTCAAATGTTTTTCCATGTGTTTATTTACTAGCTTTAATTTCTTTTCTGTGAGTTGTCTGTTTATGCTCTTGGAATTTTAGTGTTTCTCTTATCAATTTGCATGAACATTTTACATAATAAAGATATCAGGCCTTTGGCCATTACATTTCCTGCAAACACTTCCCCATGTTGTCTGACTGAATTCTGGTTATTAAACTTGTAATACCGATAGTTTGCTAACATAAGTTTTTAATATTTATTCACTCAGACTTGTTGTTATCCTTTGTGATTTCTCCTCACCTTCTAAACTTACAAAACTATTGCCACTTCAAAAGTACTATCAACATTTAGATATTTCTTTCAGTTTTTCTATTTTTAAAATTAACTCTTTGGTACAGCCACTATGAAAACAGGGTGGAGGTTCCTCAAAAATGAAAAATAGAACTATCATATGATCCAGCAATTCCACTCCTGGGTATTGAACCAAAGAAACTGAAAACACTAATTCAAAAATATATATGCAGCCCAATATTCATTGCAGCATTATTTACAACAGCCAACATATGAAAGCAACCTAAGTGTCCATCAACAGATGAATGGATAAAGAAGATATATATATCTTTATATATATATAAAGAATATATCTATATATCTGTATCTATCTATCTATCTATCTATTGAGAGAGTCAGTGGAATATTACTCAGCCATAAAAAAGAACGAAATCTTGCCACTTATGACAACATGGATGGACCTGGAGGGTATTAAGCTAAGTGAAATACTGTATGTTTTCACTTATATATGGCATATAAAAAACAAAACAAATGAATAAGTATAACAAAACAGAAACAGATTTGCAGATACAGAGAACAAACTACTAGTTGCCAGAAAGGAATGGGGGTGGCAGGGGGTTGGGTGAAATAAATGAAGGGGATTAAGAGGCACAAGCTTGAGGTTATAAAATAAAAAAGTCACAGCGATGTAACGGGCAGCACAGGGAATATACTCAATGATATTATAATAAATTTGTACATTGCATAATCTATAAAAATATTGAATCACTGGGACTCCCCTGGTGGTCCAGTGGTAAAGAATCTGCCTTCCAATGCAGGGGATGAGGTTTCGATCCCTGGTTGGGGAACTAAGATCCCATATGCCGCAGGGCAACTAAGCCCATGTGCAAACTACAGAGCCCATGTGTTCTGGAGCCTGCGCCACAACTATAGAGAAACTCAAGCAGACTGCACACTGTAATGAAAAAGATCCTACATGCCTCAACAAAGATTCCATGTGCTGCAACTAAGACCCGACGCAGCCAAAAATAAAGGAAAATAAATAAATATTTTTAAAAAACATCGAATCACTATGCTGTGCACCTGAAACTAATATAATATTGCAAGTCAACTATACTTCAAAAAAAAAAAGAAAAGGAAGAATTAACTCTGTAATCTATATGCTATGTGTTTTAGTGCATGTAAAATAATTAACCATTTTCCCATTTGTTAAGTGATTCTGTTCTTCCCCACATATTTCATTCCTTCAGCAAATATTTAGGTACCCCATAGATACCAAAACCTGCTCTGAATACCAAGGCACAGCAGTGAATAAGAGCAACTTATGGGCTTCCCTGGTGCCACAGTGGTTGAGAATCTGCCTGCTAATGCAGGGGACATGGGTTCGAGCCCTGGTCTGGGAAGATCCCACATGCCGCAGAGCAACTAGGCCCGTGAGCGACAACTACTGAGCCTGCGCGTCTGGAGCCTGTGCTCCGCGACAAGAGAGGCTGTGATAGTGAGAGGCCCGCACTCCGCGATGAAGAGTGGCCCCCGCTTGCCACAACTAGAGAAAGCCCTCGCACAGAAACGAAGACCCAACACAGCAAAAATAAATTAATAAACTCCTACCCCCAACATCTAAAAAAAAAAAAAAAAAAAAAAAGAGCAACTTATGTTGTGTAACTTGCTTTACTTAAATATAATGCATGTCAACTTCCAGACTCTCCTCTTGTAGCCTTAATATCCTATAAGGTTCAGGAACCTTACTTTTCCAACCCTAGAGCAGCCATTTCAGGAATGAATTCCTATTTATTAACCTTATTGTGACACAGCTCCCTTGATGCACAATCACCCTGTACATAGACCTATACACAAAGGGCCAAATCCAAAGGTGCTTGCTTGATGTGCATGAAATTAGAACAAAATCAGGCTAAGGTAACCATACTTCCACCTTTCATGAGAAGAATGGTCTTGCCAATAGTTTATATTACTTAAGTCTAGCTGGGTGAGGCTCTATTTTCCCCTGGATGAGCTGAGCCAAGGTGTGCCCTCTGACACTTTATATTTTTCTCTTTTTTGGTTGAACTAGCTCCCCTTTGGATCAACACAATTTTTCTTTGGAAACAGTAATATATTCAGTAGGATCATGGCTAGCTCTTAGTGTCCTGGGAATCATATTGTCTCTTTGAAGTGACATTGCATCTTTTTGTCTTAACTTATTATGTTTGATTAACATTTATTCTTTTTTGTTTGTTTCTTTGTTTTTTTGACCTCACAGCGTGGCATGTGGGATCTCAGCTCCCCAGCCAGGGATCGAACCTGCGTCCCCTGCAGTGGAAGTGCAGAGTCTTAACCACTGGATCACTGGGGAAGCCCAGATTAACACTTATTCTTTTTTTTTTTTTTTTTTTTTTT